TAACCTGCCAAAACTCAAATAGAATCGCAATTCCTTATGCATTTGAATTTCCGATGTCTACATGGAAAGCTGTCAATCAATGTGAGGGGCGGGGCTATACTAGGGGGCGTGTTTGTATTGCGAGGTGACGTCACTCACAGACGACCGTGCCGAATGCTCTGATCAATGGAGGTAATCGGTAAAGGCTCCGCTAAAGGCAGCTACCAATCAGTTTCACACCTGTGTGAACGAACAGACAGTGCAACCTTCTTGGCACAATACATAATTCTGTCTTTTTTACCCCAAATTTAGCGATTATTCGCTGCTAACAGCGGGAGCCACAACGGTATTCACTATTAACCAAACGCTTTCACCTGTCTCAGCATCTCACACTGTTTACACTCACTTACACTTTTAATCCGTAATAGAGAGTGTGTCACACCTGCCTCAAGACCTTTTACACTCCACTTGCTGCACTTAAGCAAATAGACAAACCTATACTTATTTTCCACCTTACTTTATATTTTATTCAACAGTTTTAATCCGTTATGGAGTTCGCGTCCCGTACGTGGCATCAAAGCATTGCGCCTGCCTCAAGATGTTTGATTAGGGTTGGAGCTGAACTTTGCAGGACAGTCGATCGCCAGGAGCAGGGTTGGGCACCCCTGGTGTAAACAGTGTGAGATGCTGAGACAGGTGAAAAGCGTTTGGTTAATAGTTAATATTGACCTATTGTGCTTACCGTTGTGGCTCCCGCTGTTAGCAGGGGATAATCGCTACATTTGGGGTAAAAAAGACAGAATTATGTATTGTGCCAAGAAGGTTGCACTGTCTGTTCGTTCACACAGGTACGAAACTGATTGGTAGCTGCCTTTAGCGGAGCCTTTACCGATCACCTCCATTGATCAGAGCATTCGGCACGGTCGTCTGTGAGTGACGTCACCTCCCAACACAAACACGCCCCCTAATGTAGCCCCGCCCCTCACATTGATTGACAGCTTTCCATGTAGACGTAGGAAATCCAAATGCAAAAGGAATTGTGATTCCATTTGAATTTTGGCAGGTTACATGCGCGATGCAGCGAGAGTGAAAAAGCAGACGTGGTAATTAATATTGCTATTTAAATATGACAGGCTCCATAACTCCTAAGACATGGGAAATACAGTTGCAAATGGACATTCAAATGCAAACGGTAATGCAGGATTTGCAATTGCATTTGGATTGTCACAATTTATGCGTCCACATATGGAAAACGCAACTGAAAATACAATTTGCAATTCCTTTTGAAAATAGTCCGGAATATCCTTCCATAGTCACCCCCCATTTTTTTAAATAGGCACGAAAGTGCACTATCCAAACTTAAATTGTTGTAATTTATGAACACTTTTTAATACAGACCTATGGTTGGTCTCTTTGTAAAGAAGACAATCAGCAGATTGCAAAAGTGGAATTTTTCCCAAAAATGTAAGTATTAAAAAGTTCTTGAAGTTTAAATTTACTGTAATGAAAGTGCACTATATTAATTTTATTTAATTTTATTTTACATATAATAAATATTTTTCCATAACAGGTTTTACTCTAAAATTGGTATAAAATTAAAGCCTTATGTCTAAATAAGTTATATTCCAAATTTGAAGTTGATATGAAAAAAATTAAGGTTCCTGTGAGATTTAATTTAGGGCGTTATTCCACAAACAGCCACTGGGTGCCATCCAAACTCCATAGAATTTGTTTAATGCATTTTTCTGTCACAAATATCTAGATTTCTCTGTCAATATGACTTCTATCTCAAAATAACCACCAAATATGGAACCCTGAGACTCAGACCTTTCCAATGATATGTTTGTTTGTCAAGATTATAAAAAGTTTGATTCTAAGACCATAATGCATGTTGTAATATGACACTTGACACCGCCCGCAAAGGGGGAGGAGACCACCAAAACATTTTCAAGTACCATTTCCATGGTAACGCAATGTCCGATTTCGAAATGGTTTTCAGAGGATGAATCTTGTGCTTCTAAGCTTTCAAATTATATATAATTTATGATGATTACTAAAACATTTGATAGAGAAAAAGGACAACAACCAAAAAGAGCGCCAAGCGTCCCACAGGTGGGGACGGTGACAGTTAAGGGGTTAGAAAGTTAATGAAGTAGAAAATTGCAGTTTAGAGTCAGCAATATCTTTATCTTATCTTATTTGCAAAAGATAATAAAAAGGAAATAATTTCTGTTTATTTTTATTTATTTTTTGTTTTTTTATTTGTTATAGTATCAATATCTGGCAACACTGTGATCGCCGGCACTTAAATTGAAAGCAATCAAAAAAGCCCATGGACAGGTTTTTGCTGACAGGATACGACATTCGGTAAGGATTCGGAAACGCAAAAATTATCATGATATTTATTATCTGTCATAAACGTTATCAACGCTGTCAAAAACAGTAGCATTTCACACTAGTACACACAGATCTGTAGAACAAGTAGGTCACAGAAGTCTATGCCATGTCATTCAGTATAGTTACATTTTCACAAATCATGCTATAAACTTTCATAAGAGCACTAGACAAAGTTATTGTAGTTATGTATTGTTGCAATAAACTGATAAAAAATGATCCACCCTTAAATATAGTAAAGTATTAACAAATTTTAAAATGATAATTATAAAACAATAAATAGGGTATGATTTAAAAATAATCATCCATCCAAAACAGAGAAAACATCTTTCACAAACATCTACATGTCTGTCTCCTTTAAAGTGTTTATAGTGTATATAATGAGTTATATTTGTGGGTTATTATAACATAATTAACACCAACCCCCATCATTTTCAAAGCCTGGCTACGGCCATGGACCTACCATGTTATAATGTAAAGCCAACCAGATGTTAGTAAATGCAACCATCTGCCTCAAACAAGATAGACCTAAGCAGCCGATACCAGATGCTAGAAACTGTGAGGAGGTCATGCCAGGTCAAACAACATGAATGAACAATATCAAAGGGTTCAGGATTCATCTAGTTCCAAATTTTGATTGATCCAATACAGTATCACTCATGTGCAGTAAATCTTTGAAACTTTTCAAGATCTACCTTGAGACACTGAAGTATTACAAAGGATCATGTGAAAAGTTACAAACAGACGTGTGACCTGCTACACACATGCACATATTGTATATTCATTCACAAACAACCAAAAACGTCCAAAACTTTGAGAAAACATTCCAAGAATAAGCACATATAGCTCTGATATCAGGGTCAACATTTCATTTTAGTTTATTATTCTTATCTGTAATGAATTGCTGCTGTTCCTCTTTTGTAAATCAGTTAAATTGTGCATCAATGTAAATGTTATTTTTATGTTTGGTTAATTAGCAAAAATCACCAATTTCTTTAAATGGTGAAACAAAAGGTGAACTTGACACAGTTCCTTTTTAAGGTAAATTATATCATGGGAGAAACATGGATGATGTCATATGAGACTTGTGGGTGCATGTCCTCTGCTGCATTGTCTCTGTGTGAATGATTCATACTCATAGAGGTAGGAGTCAGCTAAGGCTGGAGTTTGTTGTGACATCATTATCACTTCCTGTTTTGTGGTGTTGCTGAGGAAACAGCCACTAGCATTCTGAGTTAGAGCACACTAATGAATCACGCTCTCTTTCTCTCCCTCCCACTTGTTCTGCCTTTTTCTTTCACTCTTTCCCTAGTGCTTACCACAAAAGGACCAAGCTGTTCTGAACATCAGACACACCCCTTAGTTTTTACAATAATCTGAATGTATCCACATTCTGTCATATATTTGAAATCATGACATCTGTTTTCAGTAGTTTAACACAATGTGGTTAGACACTATATTAAACTTCGAAAACGTGTCGTGAGGGAACTTATCAAGATATATTCTTTACTGAATGAAAAGCTTAAAAATCTTGGCACCTGTTTTTGCTCCTTATGGTTAACGTCATCATATAAAACATCTCTGACAGATGGTGTTTTGGTTGTTTTTGGCTTGCCATTTTTGTTTATGAAGCATTCTGGCAGCCATTTTGACTATAGCATAAGTCAGAAACATTTATTTACTAGGACCATTTCCTTAGAAAACACAAAGAGTCTATCCATTGCCTTGATTATGCAAAGCGCACTGGAATCCATCACACTGACATTTGAACATTTCCATCACACCAACCAAAGATAATGTTTGTTTATTAGGTTCTAAAAAGTGTAGTTGATGCATTTTTAATGATAAATGGATTTTTTAGACTGTTTTGAAAATGACAATATGTGTAAAGAGTCACATAAGAGCTGTTTATTTATGTTTATCTATGTCAAAGCTCTATAATATCTTGATACAGATACAACCACCATATTTTGGATATATAATTTTTAAGTTATAGCTAGCCTATCATTATTTTATTAAAAGAACCCCAGAGCCCAGTTTTGAATAAATAACTGTCTAATTCACAGTACATAATCTCTCATTTTTTGACTCTGACTATATTTTCCAGTTACATTGTAACCATATAGAAAAAGAAGGAAAAGGCATGCAGATTATATCGTTGTCCACCTAAAAACAAACAAACAGGAAGGTAATTAAACATTTTCAACCAAAGGCTAACACGCTTGTACATGCCCTTTTTCTCTTTTCTCTCTATCATCACACACCATTCACTAACCGGGACCGTCCCGCGCACCGCTCCAGACAGCTGTTGGCGCAGCACGCACCGAGCGAGGCGCCTCCCTCTTCCTTATTTTCCCCTCAACGCGCCAATGTCCGCATTGGACGCCCGCTACATCCCCCGGTGGGCGGGTGCGCGCGGTCTGAAAGCCCTCCTATAGATAGATAGATAGATAGATAGATAAAACTAAAAGACTGGGAAATTAAAATAATTCATTCATATTTGACACTATATTTGCCTATAGGTGTCATTTATATCTGTTTGTTGTCTATTTGTCATGAGCACTTTATAATGTAATCTCCCTTGTGTGCATGTGTTTGTATGTCTGTGTGCATGTGTGTGTGTGTGCATGTGTGTTTAGGTTTTTTAGATCTCAGTGATGAATGTTGATCAGGACATGCCATATGTATGCACTGCTCCTGGATGCTCACAGGTAAGTAACAGATGTCCAGTTTACAGATAGTCGTTGTCATATCATTCAGAGCTACAACTATGTGTTTTATGTGTGCTGTCACAAGTTTTAGCCATCAGTTAGATTGTTAAATTGATTAACACTTCATAATTAATTACCTTTGAAATATTATTATTCATTTTGGAACAAATATGTGATTTCAAAGATGCCAAGAGCTGTGCTTTTTCAGCATTGTCACGGCTTGCCATGTTTCTTGTTCTCGTAGCGCTTCCAAAGAGAAGATCACCTAATTATTCACAGACACAAACATGAGATGACCCTTAAATTCCCTTCTATTAAGTGTGACAGTATGCTTTCAGGTAAGGGTTTTTTCACACATAATTACCGACTCATGTCAAAGGGTAATGTTTTATCATCAACACTGTTTTAATATCTTATGTGTTTTAATATCTTATTGTTTTAATATCTTATGTAACTAAAGAGTATCAGTCTACAGCTTGTGGGTCAGTAATATAAGAACCTGTGAAAAGCAAATGTGTGTCATGATAGGTCATGCTCTCCATCTCCTTTAATTTAGTATTTAGACAATGTCTGTTACCCTGGAAACCCAATGTCTGGCATATAAACATCAGCCTGACCCTTGACCTCTGGGGTCTGCGAGCCATCATTGCAGTGACAGAAACATTTACATAAAAAACAAAAGGAGGACTTTACTTTCTGACCCCTTTCATAGTTGCCTAGAAAAAGCAGTTTCGTTTAGACTACCCTTAAATTACCAAAACAACAAGAGCAAAATCAGGCTCATGTTTATGACACAGGGTTAATTTTTAACATTTTTGAGCATGCCAGAAGATTACTTCAGACAAGTTCTGCTCATGACATTGAGACGAGGGTTAGTTTCTCTACGTTTGTTTAGAATGCCTGAAGGTTACTTGATATTGATCTTCTGATCTGAAATTTTTGTTCCTTGACCTTGAGAAATGTCCTATACCTCCTTAGTTTCCATGTTTTTAGTCTATGTTCTATAGATATATATATAGATAGATAGATGGATACACATTTGCTTAAGCTTTAATATTTTTTTCCTTTTTTTGCATTTTACTAAACTATTTTAGTAACTTTAGTATTTTTAACCAACATTTTTCCAGCATTTTATTTTATTTCATTCTTTAACAGACATCAAAAAAGCAGATGTTCCAAATATGCATAGATAAATCTAATATTAATCAATGTATTATTTATAATAACATATATAGTATGTTTATAATATAATATATATAAATAACTTATTTAGTATATTTATAATATAATATATAAAATATTTAATACAATATTACAATTATTAATATATGCTGTGTCCTACTGACTGTATCATCTTATTTATGTATTCTTCTATTTTCTTCATATTTGATTTCAATACATTTTTGGCCAATTTTTTTTCCCACTTTTTATTTTATTTTATTTTTTACTTTTCATTGTTATTTCTTAAAATCCTGTTATGATTATTATTATTATTTTATTAATATTTTATGCAAAGTACTTTGAATTACCATTGTGCATGAAATGTGCTATATAAATAAACCTGCTATGCCTTAATTAATAAACATTTCCATTGTGTTTTTACTTTATATATTGCCAGTGGTATTTTGTGTGTGGAATCTGATGATGCTGTTTGCATTTGTGATAAACATGTACTCTTTATTCATCTGCAGATCAGACTCCAACTCCGACCCGTTTCTTACGGGACTGTGAGGAAGTGGGCCTCTTTACTGACCTGGAGCTTAACCAGTCACAGGCAGAGGAGGAGATCAAACCGGTGAGAGGAAAAACATGTTTCAAATGTGCAAATGAATAAAAGTTTGCATAAAGTCTTTGTTGTGTGAAGTAATAGTAAATATCTTGTGTGTGTGTGTGTGTTTGTGTTGATTGTAGTGAGAAAAATCAAGCTATCAGATCAAATTATCAGATGATCAGATTTAGAGTATTAAATATCAAACAGTTTTCATACATATACACAAATAGGGAGGGATCTATAGAAGACAGAGGAAGGAGAAGGAGCATTACTAAAAATATTTTTAAATATTTAAAAAAATTTAGCGTATTTATGCTTTCTAAATTCTAAATATTTTCTTGCTTTTAGAACTTTCCTGCACAGGCGTCAGGTCAGAACCAGCCTCACACTGAAACACAGCCTCAGCAGAGTCAACATCATCAGTTTCAACCTCAGCAACAGCAGCAGTGCGCACTGGCTCATCTCAACCAGAACCAGCTCCACACACACAGCTCACAGCCTCAGTCTCAATGCACTGCCACATACTCCACTTCAAATAAACAGTGAGTATTACCATATATCATTACCAAAATATCCCATATTCTTATTTTCCCATTAAAGGTCAGGGTTTTAACTGAAAAAAAGTCCTTTTACACAGTTTTACACAGGGGGGTGGGGGGGTTGGTGTAGAGTACAGAATGTTTTCATTGTAGAAAAAAACAAGTCAAAAAGTTTTGTTGCAACACAGCATTTAACCATATACCTCTGAGATCCCAAATATTCTGGTCTGTCATGCAGCTTTACATCTCTACACAGAATTTACCAATGTAAAGCTGTCAGAATACCTTTTTTTACACTTGTTGTGTAAACTTCCTAAACTGCTTTCTACCAACCCCAAAAGTAGATACATATTTTTAGTATGTAATTTTAATCAGTCCCACTTTATATTAAGTGGCCTTAACTAGTATGTACTTACATTTAAATGAATCATTTGGTACAATGCACTTATTGTGTACATAAATGTTTTTACACTGTACTTATATTTAAAAAAAATACCAGCATGTAATTACGTATGTAATTAATTTCTGTAATTACAATTATATACACTGTTGACCCATCCCTTACACCTTAACCCACCCTTAAACCTGACCATACCACCAAACCGGTCCCTAACCTTACCCGTATTCCACCTCAATAGCAGAAGAAGTATTTTGCAACACAGTATGAACACAATAAGTACATTGCACTTATTTTTTGATGTAAGTATGTAGTAGTTAAGGCCACTTAATATAAAGTGGGACCTTTTAATCTTTTGTTCTCTGCTAATGTGAATCCCTCTGACATTACAGATCTGCACCCAGCTATCTGCACAGCAGACAGACAAATGCTTTGACTGGGACATCAGCCATGAATGTAAGTAAACCCGAAAGCATTTCAAACCCAATCGGACCAGTAAAATATTAATCGAAATAATACCTCTGTTTCTTATTACATCATTATGATAATTTCATATCTTATTAAAATGACAGATGGAGGCACAGTTGTCAATGAACTCTAGTATGATTGGTATACCAGGCCCCGCCCCCTCTGGCTCATGCTCCTCCCTTCAGGTACAGCCCTATACTAATGATTTGACTCCATGGCTACAGGATTATGATGTCTCTATAGAAACATTACAAGTCAGACAGGGGTTATAATGCCACAGTGCTTTGTAACTAATGCAGACATCTTGATTGAGTTATCTAATTCAGACTCATGCAATGTTGCCTGTTAAAAAAGCGGCATTAACACACACACACACACACACACACACACATGCGCTGATTCTCTTCAGAAAGTGGAGGGGATTGAATTTCAAAGGCTTCGGCTTGACCTGGTTATCATCTGACTTTTCAAAGGCATCTTTGTAGATTCTCTGTGTTTTGAAAAACTTAAAAGTGCCAAGTAATCTAACCATCGCAAACAATCACCACACACAGGAAACCTTAGATGTAGAAATTAAAAACACATGGTTTCCTGTAGAAGTTGGCAAAGCAAATCTCACTTTGGGCATTTCCTTTTGAAATAGCATGAAATATCCACAGTGTTACATGACAATGATGTTGACAGTGACCCCAGGAGCCATTCTGACCCATCTCTCCCCATCTCTAATCCTTCAGAGGTCAAAGGTCATGCCAGCCCACAGCCAACCTGCGGTTTCCAATGGCAGTCAGAATCCTCTTTGCCACATGATGGAGATGATGTCGTCCCAGCACCCATTGTCACATTTACAATCCGCATCTCATCATCACGCATACCAGCAGCACTGCCACAGCCAGTCACCGCAAAGACTCGCTCATCAACATCAAAGCCAAGACCAATCACATCACAGCCACGCTCACCATTCTCCACCTGCTCATTTGCATCCTGGCCCCACCCACCAGACCGCCCCTCCCCTTTCACATCAGCCGATACCAACACAGGTCTAGGTCAAACTCAGATTTTTATAGTTTCTAATTAATCTTTTGTAATATTGAACATAATGTTTGTGTTTTATAGATGTCGTCCACACCAAAACAGACCCCCTGCCCACAATCTCCTCCACAGCCGTCCACGGCCAGACGCCGGCGGACAGCAGAGGAAGACCCAGATGAGCGCAGACAGAAGTTTCTGGAGAGAAACAGAGCTGCCGCCACGCGGTGCAGACAGAAGAGAAAGGTCTGGGTGATGTCGCTGGAGAGGAAGGCAGAGGAAATTACACACACAAACTTACAGCTGCAGGTACATTTATACATGCAGTTTGTGCATGTACTTACCTTGCAGTATTAATCACAACTGAAAGTTCATGGTACTGTAGATTCATGCATTTGCTGCTTTGCTTATATATTTATATACATTTGTTTTCTCATAGAATGAGGTGACATCACTCAGGACAGAAGTCACTCAACTGAAGCAAATTCTTCTCGCACATAAAGACTGTCCTGTCTCTGTGAGACAGAGAGAAACACAGAGTAAGTATGAATCATTTTTTTCATTCTCTCGTGCTTTCTCACAAATACTAGTGTATTGGGGTTGAGTTTCATTAAAACCTGTGACGAACATGTCTGAGTCATATTTCACCCATAATAATAGTAAATAAAAAATTATATAATTGCTTATCAGTGATGCATATTTTTTGGTCACTATAATTTTTTACACTGTCACAATTATTTCCATGACAATTAGGAAGCCCAAATTATATATTTAAATAATGCAAAGAAAAAAGTACAAATAAAAAAATAAAAATGAAATTGTAATGTTTTTATTAAAAATGTAAAAATATTAATTAAATTTTTGAATTTTAACTAAACAATATTAAAAATATAAAGTGCGGATGCATTACAGTAAAATACATTAAAGTACATTATGCATTTAAAAAAAAGTTAAATTGAAAATAAAAAAAAAATCGTTTTTAAAAAATGCTGTTTTTTTTACAGTATTTTGATCAAATAAATGCAGCCTTGGTGTAAAAGAAAAAAAATTATAAAAATTGTACAAAAATTTTTTAGTGCTAATAATTATGTTCATATTGTGCATTTATTACTTTAAAGAGCAGGTCATATGGTATTTTAAAGTGTCCTAATATTGTGTTGGAGTCCCCTACAACAGGTTTAAATGGTTTAAATAAAAGGTCAGAAAACATTGTAATTTTCTCAGAATATACATTTAATATTAGAGTCATTTGCCAATGGTGAGGTCAGTCTGCATTAATCTACACATTCTTAGGAAATAGTGGGTTCACAGCGAATTATCAGAACTACTTCAGTAAGACAGTAATATCGTGCTTTACCTGGAAACCTAAAGCTGCACTTGGTATACATCACATATTAGCACAAAAACTTGATATTTTGAGCACTCAATTGAAAATGTACACATAACGTATCAATCATACTTACAGGTTGTGGTTCAGAGAGTTTGTTAGTCCAAATTAAGAAGATTAGAAGCCAACGAATATAAAAGCCAAGATTAGAGAAGCAGTCCTTGGTAAAATGACATGCACACAACAAAAGGTTCGAATTGTATTTCTGTGGTATCCTTGAACACAGCGTCTTCTCGACATGATGTAAACACACTAACTAGTGGAAGTGTTTGTGGGCAGGGCAGACTCTGTTCGTATTTCACGGGCAGGCGGGGATTATGCAAATGTGTTACCCAGTGACGTATACCGGTAACAGGCAAAAGATTCGAAAATATAACGACTCGTTAAGGCGATTCAGAATCGACTCTCTCTTTTGACAGACACTATCTTTATTTATCATGCACTTTTTGATTAACAACTTTGCAGATTGTTTTCATTTAAGGATAGCTACGTTATAAACTGCAAAAGAGATATTTTTCAAAAACCCATATGACCTGCTCTTTAAATGTGTGTATTATTATATATATATTGAAAATTGAAGGATTTTTTCGTATTTATGTTTAGGTGGAGTAGGTAGTCCAACAGGAAGTCCTGTCCAGCAACATGCCATCCAACACAACAGCATCTCAACATCAAATTCGACTTTACCACACACTCACCTCCCCCCACACTCACACCACACTAACAACTCACAACTATAACATGCTTCTACATGGACAGAAACTGATGAGAACACAAAATACGACCCTTCTTTAGAGCCATATGATCAGGGCACCTATGACCAAGCAGGTACCCATCAGTGCAAAAGCAAAACTGAACAGCAAAATGTTTTAAACTTGGATTTATGACTAAAAGGGAATGTATGCATTACATATATGTCTGAAATGTCTGAATAGAATAATTAAATTAAAAGTCTGTTTATATTTCTGGCCCTTGACATCTCAGGTAATCAGTTTTATTTGACCTCACTGTGATTCATTACAGTGCTGGAAAACAAACTGTCTTTTACCCTCACTAAATTTAGTTTTCTTATTCTCAGACCTGTCTCTCACCCTCTTTGTACCTCTCTTTCTGTCTTCTCACACTCTTCCTTATGCTTTTTTATAGTTGATCTTTCTCAGGGACACTCATCTAGTTTTACTCCTAGAGTATGTGTGCACATTTGTGTGTATATATGTGTTTTGTTTTGTTTTTGGCCACTTTCAGTGTAAACACTTTGATAGCTTCAGTGACAGCTGTGTGCTAAATCCTGAACCTAATGGCAAAGCCGTGTGAAATGCATTGAATCAGGGCAGTTGTAAATTTGTAATTGTAAATAGGATTCTCTAGTTTTATAAATGTATGATGATGCAGCTAAGCTGATTGTTACATGTTTGTCTTCGCTGTAAATATTGTTAGAGGCCTCTTGGTGAATTATCAGGTATCACATTACCTACGAAAGTACTTAAAGAGTATCATGTGTTTTTTTTGTTTTATAAAATAACATTTAACATTTTATATAGACCGAGCCAACATCAGAATCATGTATAGGAATGATAGTAAAGGAATCATGCATTACTAATCGCACTCATGGCACTCTGAATGTCTTACAGTATTCTCCTAAAACAATACAGCATAGCAATCATTTCACACTAACTGGCTCAGTGACAATCAAAATGTCAATACTGACATTTCCTGGAAATGACATGCAAGCATGTGTACCATCTCTGATAAAAATTGCTTAGGTAAAGAATTTATATGGTTATACATTCTGTGTAAAATGGAATTATGAATCTGGACATGTGGAAAAAAAGAATGTTTGTACACTCTGCAGGTTTAAACTGTTTTATGCATGTACAGTTTTTTTTAAATATATATCTATTTTTGTACACATTTGTGGCCATTTTTAATTAAAAGCACTTAATATCTGTATCCTGATCTCTTTTTTCATGGTTCATGTTAATAACTTTATAAAGCTGTGATACAACTGCTGCCTTTAGTGTATTATAGTTTTGCTGGATTATTCTAAGGGTTGACTGCATGTACTACAAGGTGATAGTTTAAAATAAATGACTGCAGAAATGTGGTTTTACAGTGTTGCAGTTTAAGTCTTGTGAAAACTTGTATTAACGTTTATTGCGCCATCTTATGGTGAGATTCATGTAGCAGTTTGGCATAGACCTTTTTCAGGGCAGCGCCCTTTTTTTTAACAGGAATGGAAACTAGGCTGTGAGGGATAGAAGTACAGTGCGTTCAGTGGATTGTACTGTTGTTTATCAACAGTGCTGGGTAGATTACTTGTAAACTGTAATCCATTACTGATTACAAATTACATGACAGAAATTGAAGTTTGTAATATTATCTGGATTACACAAATTAGATAATGTACTCTGATTACTTTTAGATGACTTTTGATCTAACTCATTTATCACTTAGACTTGGATGTGATCATTGTGTACAGCAGGGGGGGTTTTGTGGGGGGGAAAACTAGGGTTTTCATGAAAAGCTAATAATCAATGAAATCATAAAAATGTCAAACATTGTGAATCTCTACATTACATGGACAAACATTAATAAACATGAAAACATGACATTACATGGCCAAAGCTTTTCATATTTGAATTTTTTTTCCCCTGACTTCCCATATTAAAAATTAGTGAACATCACTGGATATGATGAAGACATAGGATTTCACAGCTGTGAATCAGCAGTGTTTAGTAACTTGCATAATTATTGGTCTCGTGTATATAAATGGTAGGTTCATTTAGAAAAGAAAATGTAAAGGGAAAAAGAACTGGGGTGAACCAATAAATTATTAATAATTTACTTCAATTGTCTGAATACGTAGTCATGTAACACATAAAAAAGTAACTGTAATCTGATTATGAGCATTTTAAAACATACTATAGTCTAATTACAAGTACTTATTTTTTGGAATCTGATTATGTAATCCAGATTGCATGTACTCAATTACATGGTCTATGACTATGACTATACAGTACGTGCTATCATAAACATAACCGTTCTCCCTCAAAGCCTTGTCTTCATCTGTGCTAAATTCAATATGGCGTCTAAACCTGCTAAGGTCTATTGTAGAATTTTGAATGTCGGAAGTGAATTAATTATAAAGACAAAACATGGAAACCATTACACAATTACTAATAAAGACTACGTATTTATTTAAAAAAAAACAATCATGAAAGTGAAACGTATAAAATGTATCAAAAGACTTTTCCTGTGCTGTACCTCACGGATTGATATACATGCCTAGAATACTGCAGTATATCTATATAGGGTAAATAAGTAATATATTATCTACAAAGACATTCATTCCAAAACCAAGCAATTCTGCCAACCAGCAGCTGAGGCCTAGACAATCAATCAAAAGAAATTTAAAGATGAAAAAGAAAAGAAAAAAATTGCCGTTTCAGTGGTTTCTCATTTGTGGCCAAAATATTTTTTTGCCAAAATTGTCTATTATTTTCTCACACACAAACTACACTTCAGTCTGAGTATCTAAGCATTATGACATCATCATCTCTTCTTGCATGGCTGTTGTCAAAGAAGCGGTCGCCGGGGAACTGGATGAGGTCACCTTCTTCAGCCAGTTGTCTGCCACTCTGGTAACCGCTGAATTCAGAAGAGACACATGTAGTGGCCACAGTAGAGCGAAATGGATGTCTGGTTGAGTACATGTGACGTACATGTGCATGAGTGGACGACTTCCTGCTTCTGATCCGCCTCTTCAACACACGCCCCAGCCAGACTCCGCCCACCAGAAGGAGGAGCAGCGCATTGGCCGCCAGGGCTGCTACTGTGACAAGCTGTAGATTGACTTCACTTGTCACCAAGGGCAAAAGTGTGACAAATCCAGTGCAGTGATCTCTGGGGGCAACCTGGCACAAAGCTCCACCCACAACGCTCTCCACGCAGGTAATGTAGGTGGAGTCTGGGCGGAGCTCTTGGAGGGTCACTGCCCGGTCAGATCCATCTGTGTAAACATAGCGTGGGAAGCGGAAAGCATGGCCGAAACGGTCAAATAAAACCCGAAAGAGAAGTTCTTTCCCATGAACTAGTCTAACGTCAGGAATTGTGCTCCAGCGGATTGTGGCTGTACTGGAAGTGACATCTTCCATGCTAACGTTCAGGATGGAGTGATGATTGAATTGACATGCATCAGTGATCACTTCAATCTTTGAGTCATGATGCTTGGCTCTGTCTTGTAAGGGCAGGTTGAACTGCTCCTGTGGGGCCCAAGCAAAGGCGCTGTGGTTGTGGCCTGTCAAGAACGTGGCCGTTGTCGTTGGAAAATCAGATAAAGAGCCATTTCCTGTTTTCCCAGCTGTGGGTCTTGGCCTTGAGCTGACCAGTTTCCTCTTCTTCTTTCTGTCTAGTGTTGTCACAAGCCCTTGCTCCCCCTCATCCCCTTGGACACCTACATCTCCATGTTTTTCACCTTCTCGCTTCTCTCTTTCCTCCTTGAGAACCGGTGACTCCACTACTGCTCCACGGCTCTCCATTGGCTGAGGTTCTGACTTGCAGTAACCACTCATATTTCCCAGCTGGGAGTTGCTGACATAGTCCAAGTATTTTCCCGCCAGCACTGGGGGGTGAAGGCAGCGCACAAACACGGTCAACAGCTTTCCCTGAGAATGCGCATGCGTCATCCAACTTCTAAGCTTCTCCATCCGGCAGTCGCAAGTCCAGTTATTCCCATTCAGTTCTACGTGAAACAAAACGCCGTTTGTGGCGAAAATTCCACCGGAGAGATTCACAAGACGGTTGTTTTTCAATCTTAAGATTTTTAGATGTGAAAGGTGGCCGAAAGCACCGGGGTCCACGCGAGATATGTGGTTGTCACTGAAGTCCAGGTTCTCGATGCGCTCCAGCGGGTCTAGAAGACCAGCAGGGACCTCTGTCAGCTCGTTCCTGTCAATCTTGAACTCTTTCACTCGCGCGAGACCCCTGAGCGCTTCGTTGTCCAGCTTTGATATCTTATTGTGGCTCAGCGACAGTTTTGTTAACTTTTTCAAGTTCTGAAAGACGTGATTTCCAATGTGCGTTATTTGGTTGCCTGCGATTAGAAGAGTTGTTAGTGACTTGAGATGGGAAAACATGAAAATATCGCGCAGTTCTGTTTGTTTATTATCTGATAGGTTTAAAAACTGCAGTTTGCTGAGCAGCGCGAACGCATTGCGGTCAATATGGCGAAGCTGGTTCGATTCTAATTGCAGGAACATTAAATTGGTCAGTCCTTTGAAGACGGATTCTTTTAAAAACTCAATTAAATTTCCATCAAGTCTCAGTTTGACTAAACTATTTAAATGGCTAAAAGGTTCGGAAACAAAGTCCTTGATTTCGTTGTTATTGCTATATAATATTGTGAGTTTTTTCAGCGACTGTAGAGTCCCAGGTTGTATTGTCGAGATTAAGTTGTTGCCCAGATAAAGCTCCTCCAGCATGGAGAGTTTCTCGAATGCTTTAGGATGTATATTCCTTATTTGGTTAAACTGGAGATTTAGCCTGATTAGGTTCCCATAGCGCATGAAGTCGAACGCGCTGAGGTTGTGAATGAAGTTTCCCGCGAGACCGAGAACCAGCACGTCCCCTGCGCGCTCCACCTGCGGCGCTTTGGGCACCGCGCGCAGTCCGCGATTTGCGCAGAGGATATGCTGCGCGTGCTGGCACTCGCATAGCTCGGGGCAAATGGCCCAACCAGGCGCGACAAATAAAAGTGCTCCACTGCCGAACAAAAGAAATTTATAGAGCAAGTATGCCATTCCAGTGATGAGCAAATAACAAGCCACTCAATACATTCCTTTGTTTCAGTCCAGGTTCGCCAAGTTTTTCCTCGCCAGGAATTGAAGCTTTACAGATGCATTGCCGCCCGGATACAGACATTTAGATTACCTATAAGACGAATGCATCGTGAATTTTAGCTGTATGATATATCCATGCACATCCGTTGCGAGCTGATGTGGCTCCAGCCGAGGAAACATTTGCCTCCGTCAGACCCTCTCATCCCCCAAGAAGTCATCTGTTGCAGATTACACACACACACACACACACACACACGCACGCCATAGTCGAGTTCAGGCACGGATCAGCCCGCCCCTCTCTCCTCCAGATGTGGACATTACAGTTAGCCTACTGAACAACATAGGCTACACACTCGTGTATATCTGATATACAGATTCTGGTTCAGATTCATTCTAACGAGTCCTTAAGTTGCATTAAAGATTCTTTTTGTACATTTTGTAGAAGAATTGGGATATGGGGAGAAATATAAATGCAATTGCTATTACATTTAGGCCTACCGCCAGTTTCCAAATGATAATTTCATATTGCAGCATTACATAACAAAGCAGGAAAACAATTCTGGCAATGCTTTGATTGCCCAGAATTTATGATGACGTTTACAAACGTTTGGAGGCAGTATAAATCCAATTTAAATTATTGGGCCTAAAATATATATTAAATAAAAATGCTAAAACAAATTAA